AAAAAAGCAAAGATCCGCTGCTGCGACACTAACTGTTTGTAAGCTTTGGCATCCTTTTCACTCTCCCAGTCAATGTTTTGATAGTAATCTAATTCTTTCCTGATAGATGTAAGGGTAGAGTAGTAGGTGGATAAGCTTCTTTCCCCTTGTTTACAAGTTGCAGACTCGGCTTGCAATTGATAGATTCTAGCATAGTGTCTCTGCTCGGTGTAAGTTGACCTTGGTTGTTCCCAAATTTCCTTGGCTGTCTCAGCCCACATAAAATTCTGCTTAACTGATGGTAGCATAGTAGTCAAAAGCCATGACATAATCATGTAGTTTTCCTGGTTCCACTTATCATATTCAGCAGTACCAATCCTAGGTTCCTTCACTTTTCCATTGATATACCTTGCCTTACCCTGGGTTGTGATGTACAATCACATCTCCTCAGACCATGTCAAATAATTTCTGCCATCTAAGGGAGTAATGGTCGTTGGAAAGTTCATAGAGTCAAGATTGTTGTTCATTCCTCCTTGGTTAAAAGAGGTTCCAGAAGTTGCAGAGTCTTCAGAGGCCATAACAAGGGCTGCTAGCAGAAGTTTCAGACCTCAACCCTTCTCCCGCAGTCCACACACTCACAAACACACAACCCCCACTGTAAGATTTAAGGTCAAATTGCAGTCACAGTAACACAGCACCTGCTGTCACAGATTTACAGTTCTAACTGACCTCACAAGGGCTAGTTTAAGCCACACATAACATCTATGCTTCTGCTGATGTATTTCTTCATCTGAACCAGGTCACACATGAACTACACAGGTTCTTCACCCACACAGTTCTGGATCACCAACCCACATAAGTCATTAAACACACCTACACCATTTGGCTAGGGCAGATTTTAGGATGTTCTTGGTAAAAATACCAAGAGCCAATGATAAAAAATCACTTCAGTCTAGGTTCCTGATCAGTTTGACTGATTTTTGGAAGTTACAGTCCAGAGAAGAATGGGAGAGAAGAAGAAAAACAGCCACAACCTCTAGAAAAACTCAGTCAATCATCTTCCAATCTCTGAGTGTGATTTTCTTTTCAATTTCTGTTTAAAAATAATAGAATAGGGTCCAACAACAGTTCTCAGTGCAAGGTCGAACCAGTTTTCTCATTCTCAGTCCAGGTATGTGATTTGTAAGATCTTCTATCAGATAAAAATACCTTTTACAGAGTGCTGTCCTGCTCTGATACCATGATTTCGTTAGTTCATCTTAAAGGACAAATACAGATTATATATATATATATATCAGAATTTGAATTTGAGGCACCAGTTAAGCAATTCTAAGGTGACTATTGGAACCATTGAGCCTCCTTGCTTCTTTTTAAGAAATGAGTTTAAGTCTTAAATAGCAAGTCATATTGGTTAAATAAATAGGGATCTCCTTTGCAGGTGGCTATGGAGATTTACTGAGGTGAAGAATCAGATTTTAAGGTGGGTAGTTGGCACCAAAGTTGAACTCTGTCTCATACACAGGGAGATCCTCATGCCATCACAATGCCATTGATCTAGTCTATGGAAAAGGATCATGAAGCCAAAGTTGGATTTTGTTGCTGAAGCCTGGTGATAGGGAGAACACTTTCTTTTTGAGAGACTTATGGTGTCCCAACCAACCCCCTTTGTGACATACTTCCAGCCTTTTTTCACATTGTAGCAGATAAGGAGGCCTCTGTTAACAATTGTGCTGATTGGATAGGATCTCAAGTTCAGCTGGTGTAGGCACCAAAATTCAGACACAATCTGAACAATTGGGAGGTAGACCTCCTCGGGGACATGTTAGGGAGACTGCCTTCAGTGTGACTGGATCCACATTTAACGGATTCTAAACTGCAGCTGAGAGAGAAGTCTGGGTATTTTCAACCAAATCTTGCTACAAAGCCTTCATTGGTGACTTTCAGCCAGTGATGTGGAACTGAATCTGGAGTGTACATGCCCCCTTAAAGTCTATTTTTCTCTTGTGGACAACAGCCTGTGGAAAGATCCTAAGTTCCTAACAATCAATTGCATGCTGCATAAAGGGGCAACCATCATCAATATTTGCAGCTTTATGTGGGGTGGATCTGGAGTTAGTTAATTGTCTTCTTATCCATTGTCCACTTACTCATCAGATTTGCACCATTTTCTGCAGCTCTTTAAAGGGCAATGGCTTTCTCCTTCCAATCTGGCAGTGCTCCTCTAACTTAGAGGGTTGGTGTTTTTTTTTTTTTGTGAAGGGGATGGTCCTTTGGAATTGGACTGTATGGAAGGAGAGAAAGTCAAATTTTTGGGGACAAGGCCTCATCCTTGGAAGAGATTCTCAGGAAAGCTGAATGGACTCTCATGTGCTGGGCTGGAGTCTCTAGACATCTTTTGGGTATCTCGACAGCCTGTTTTAGGGTTCATTGGACAAGCATCTCTTTTATGCCATGCCACTTGACCCTCAGTGTTTATATTGTGAGGGACTCACCCTCTTTACAGTAATACAATACACCATTTATAAAAAAAAGCAAATAACCCTTTTATTGAAATTGAAAATGTCCCATTGAAACAAAGCTTGCAAAGTGCCAATTCTTCCACTTCCAGTTGTATTCTAGGCTGCCTCCTTACTTTCTAATTGCTTTGTTTCGAATTTCCCCATCTTATTGATTTGCTTATCAGGACCCAGGAGCCCTGTATAGACTTTTGGCCAAGGCTATGTCTCTTTCTTCATAAATTTCCTTTTATTGGAAGAAAAAGGCCACAATATCTTCAAGTCCATGGCTGGTATAATGAATCTTGTTAATTTGGAATTGACCTCAATGCTGGATGCTTGGATCTTTCCTCCTCAGTCATTTAAAGCCCATGATTTTTTTTTTTGATCAGCAATAAATTTCATTTATTAATCTGAAACAAGATTACATGTGCTTTAGCCATTGAGCTGCCCAAGTTACAAAGGAATCAAGAAATCTCAAGTACATAGGTCACCTAGTTTCCTTTTCACTGCAGAAATTATAGCTTTGCCCAAAATAAGGTTGGCCTATCCGCTCCCTGTTTTGCTAGAACATCTGCCAACCCATTTGCTGTCCTTTTTACCCATCCAAAATTTGCATTAACCTTTCTTGCAAGACAATCAATCTTCCTTAAAAAATCTGTACTTCCAGGGTACTAATGGGTTTTCTTTGCCCAAGAAATCACCAAGAGTGAATCTCCTTCAACTTCCAAATCTCTAACTCCTAGTTGTGATGTCAGTTTCAAGCCTTGCAAAAGAGCCATAACTCTGGCCTGAACTGAATCTCCAAAGCCTACTGGTCCTGAGTGTAGAGCCATTACTACTTGAAAGTTTCAGAAAACTCCCCCTATGCCTGCCCTCCCTGGATTGTGAGCTGCCATCAACGTTTAACTTAATGTTATCTACCTCTGGTGGTTTCCAGTCCATTATGACTACTTTATGTATGTCTGTTTGTACCACTTCAGTCCATTTCCATATTATGTCGTTTGTAGAAATGTCTCTGAAGAGGTCCACAATTTTTACCTAGTGTGCTGATCTATCTCTTAGTTTCAATCACTTCCTCCTTGGACCTTATCTTTTCATTGAAAATCCTATTGTTTCTTTCTTCTTAAATAGTCTAGACCACAGCCACCCTTACTTTCCTCCACAAACATCTTCCCCTTTTTTCTGTTGCCTCAAGAAGTCAGGGTTGAATAAACTAGCAACATCTTGTGGGGGAGCCCATTTGCAACCAAAGAGAATAGAAAATGTCCCATATGCAAGACACAAAGGAGTAGGAGATTAATAAATGAGGAAGGGTCTACCACAAGCCTTACAAAGGAAACACACATGAGGAGAGAGGCATTTATTTGGCCTTCTTTTCTGTAGCACGTCACAGGTGTTAACTTTTCCAAGGAGCACTTCCCAACAAAGAGTTTGTACCTTGGGAGGGATTGATTTGCACCAAATTTCTCTCACTGGTAAATTTACTCCCAAAGAGTTTGAATGGATGAGCAGGTTGAAGAAGGAAGCACACAAAAATAGGCCATTTGGGGAAGTAAACCAAACCCTGCCATCCAGAGAGTTCTGGTCCAAAAACACCTTTTCCAAAAATGAAGTAATAGGATAAGTGAATCACACTCGTTATCCCTTAATCCCCTTTTGAAGCCAAAATCCCAATTTAAACTAAAGCCTAAGGACACCCCAAATCTAGAAAACAGGTTCCGCCTTAAGATTTGATAGAGAAAAGAGTCAAGGGAATTGCAAATTAAAGGGGGTATCCCCAATCTAGAGGTCTTCCCAGAATAGGACACGGTCCTCACAACCCACATCAAAATGGATAAAATTAAGAAAGGTTGGTAATACCTCAGAGATTGCTTTCCACAGGGAATTTGAGGTTGCATGAGGCGCTAGCTTTGCATCCCAACCATTGTCCACCACACTGTGGATGCTTCTGATGACCTTGTGCCAAAGTCTATCTCCTTCTAAAGGGAACCTCCAAAGCCGTTTTCCTAGAAGAGTTGTGCTCCTTTTAACTAAGTTTTCAATACCTACTCCTCCTTGTTCCTTTGATTTACAAACCTGTTCCCATTTGACAAAATGATCTTTCTTTTTGTCTCCTTGCTCCCACAAGAAATCCCTCATTAATTTTTGTAACTGTCTTGCTATTTTAACTAGGATTCTAAAGGTGGACAGAAAGTAGGTGGGAAAGTTGGCTAGGGTAGACTTGATCAAAATATTTTTCCCTCCCATAGAGGTGTAGCTTCTTTTCCACAATGCTAACTTTTTAGAGACATAATCAAGCCATCTTGCTATTTTAAACCCCATGATATTCCAATCATTTGATTATATTCTCATACAATTTTGTGTTTTTCTCTTCTAAGTTCTTTAATTTGTGATTGTGATTATGTCCTGGATATGGCACTGGACAGAACGAAATGGTGGAACAGGATTCATGTAGCTGATCCCATATGATTACGATGAAGCTTGGACGATGATGATTAACTTATGCCCTGGATTTGGTTGCAGGATTTTACCTCCATTCAGTTACTGAAACAAAGCTTGTTGTAGATACTTCGAGAGGAGAAACCCTACGTATAAATGTAATACCTTATTGTTCTTCTTTTTCATAGATATCAAATATATACTCATTTTGGCCTTTGAATATAAAATTTTGTCTTTATTCATTTTTATTTAATTATAGTTTTGTTCAAATGGTTGGGATTTAATGTTTTGTTGAACAAAGTTGATATTTGTTCAACCTTTTTTCAGGAAATATTTAATGGCTGGAGTGATGGGTTTTGTGTCTCATACTTCTGTAGTTACTTCCCCATGGTTTCACCACCTGCAGTTTTGTTGTTAACATAAAAGTATATATCAATAAATATACGTGCTTGTATATATGTATTCTTGTGGGCATACGTAATATACATTGATTTTCATGGTATGTGGCATGAAAATGACAGCCATTATCAATTGTCCATGAGACACCTGCATGTGTCTTGAGAATTTCTTGAACTATTCAGTTTTTTTTTGGGTGATTATCTTGTATGGATTGTCTACTAATTTGCAACCCCCATAGAGTTAGGATAAAGGTTTGTTGAGTTGCTGGTTTATCTTCTACTTGTGGTAATAGCTAGGATTGTTGATTAAGTAATTGCTTGATTTTTTACTTTTTCTTGACCATGTTTCTTTCTGTTTCTGAAAGTGCAGTTTGATGTCACTTTTCCTGCCCTTGCATGTTCTATACTCAGCCTTGATGCCATGGATATCAGCGGGGAGCAACATCTTGACGTAGTATGTATTGCAAATAGTTGCATCCTTCAGTGCTATTCTTGCTGTTTATATTGCTAAATAGATTTTTCCAACATCGTTATTGTCTTGCTGAATCCTTCATTTTACCCCTATTACTTCTAATCTGTTGGTTGTTGAATATGGGCATGGTAGCATGGTATTTGTCTAGTCTTGATTTATATGCTCATGTCTTATTTATATGCAGAGGCATGATATAATCAAGAAAAGAATTGATGCTAATGGGAATGTAATTGAAGCCAGGCAGGATGGAATTGGTGCACCCAAGGTTTGTCAAAGGTTACTTGAAATCTTTTTCTTATGACTTGCAATTGCGAACATGGTTGGTTCAATTTTGAGGCCTAGGTTATCACATCTTACTCTGGGAGAATTCTGGTTAATATCACATGATAGGAACTTTTCTTATACAGGCATGTTATATATGCATGTGACTGTATATATTATTAGATGGTAAAATTTTGAGTGTTCCTGTGAACAGAGGACCAACAACTAAGATACAAGATGAATTTATACTCTGGATCTCTCTCATGATCAGTTAGATAACATCTGCAATCCTGTCTTTCTTTGATCTTGTTAATATTAGACTTCTGCAGCATTTACAATTTGATATTCACTTGCTTTCTCTGTATGTCTTTTCTTTTCCCTTTTTTGCATCCTAAGTTCACTTGTTATTTCTTCTTTATCGTCACAGATTGAAAAGCCTCTGCAGAGACATGGTGGGCGGCTTGAACACAATGAGACATATTGTGGTTCATGTTATGGTGCAGAAACGGTATGTTTTTCTGTTCCTGTCACTTTGTGCTTATGCATTATAAAATATCAAAATTTAAGCATTCTCCATTAGGGTCTAGTACAAAATGCAGAACTGGCAAACCTATAAAGTAGGATTTGTGGATATCCAAAATGTTTTAGTTGGTTTAAGAGATAAATATTTTATCCAAACCTAGGGCTGTAAAAGGGTATAAAATATCTATTCTTATATATGATAAACCTAGTGAAAGAACGTAACTCACATGCACTTTTGACACTTAAAAATTGTGAGAAGGTATGTTTTGTCTTTTGTTCTAGTCAAGGCATTGTTCGGAAGCATTTACTTTCTCTTTTAAGTTGTCTTTTCTTGGTACCTTGGTCTTGGCCTTAAGCAGCTCATGTTAATTAAAAGCAGGATCCATTGATATGTACCAGAATATGTTCTTTATATAACTAGTTAGAAAAAGGTAATGGTATTGGTTTTGTCTCTTGTGTCTGAGTTTCTTATTTATGTTGCAGTCTGATGACCATTGTTGCAACTCATGTGAAGAAGTCCGTGACGCATATAGAAGGAAAGGTTGGGGGCTGTCGAATCCAGATATGATTGACCAGGTCTGTGTGGTTTTAGTTTTTGGCTTTATTTTCTAAATCGACCTTCTTTTAAGGGCTGGAGAGATTGTTAATACTAAACCTTTTCTAGCAGCTTCTACTATGGCAATTCTGTGAAATTAAAGAGCTTTCCTAATTATTCTTATAATGGAAGCTGAGTGTTTGGTGGCTAAAATAGTAGTTTCAAGACATTCTAACTATCACATTAAGCATAAAAAAAGGCATTCTAACTATCAGTCCAAGACCTTGAGATTGCATGAAGTTATGTATTTCTTCTAGTTATTTTAATCAAGTCCAGGGCCAAATTAGGAAATGCCACTATGGTTCACAAGTGTTGACATACACAATACAACAAACTTCAAAGGGCTAATACTCTTTTTCTTTACTTTTATTTTTTCAGTCTGAGATTTCAATGATAAACATGTTAGAAGGGGTTCTAATGTTTAAACTTAAAGACCCCCCTATATCCCTGTATATGGCATTTTAGTGGGTTCAAAAACCGATACATTACACTGATAATTTGTGATATTTTGAACTTTGAATGCCACAGTATTCATTATGGGGTAAATCATTAGGACATGATGCAAGTTTCTAGGTTTACACACTGATAAGTCATTGCATAATCAAGAAGTCCTGTACGGTTGTGGATATCTTAGGAGGTTCTGCTCAAGATGTTACACCACTCCATACAACCTAGGAACATTTAATCTCAAAGGTATTTGTTAACATATACATACATGTTTGCATATAAAACATGTACTTATCTGCATGCCCCATTGATCCCTTGCCAACTTTATTAAAAGCATAATCTATTAAATAGAGCGTATTGGAAACCTATAATAATTGATATTTATAGAAAAATGAGCCCAGTTTAAGTGAAGGAATGGAGCATTGATGAAGGGATCCACATAGGGAGCTAAAGTCTGATCAACCCAAGCATATTCTTTCCTTACATGAGGGTTGATTAATAAAAAGAGTAAATAAATTTTAAGGTCACCCAACACATTGAAGAGCCAGATTAACAAGTACAAAGAAAGCATTTACAATGAATGGAGACCTTTTATTAATTAGAAAAGAAAGAATTCTATGTACCAGAAGCTGTATATGTTTGTGAAAGAGTGATTATGGGACCCATCCGAACAAGATGTCACTCTGGAGTCTGGATGCCAGAGATCTAGGTTTTTTCTGATACATGGTAGAGTCCAAGGTCCCACAGTGAGGGCACTTCCACCCACTCCTCACTACCTGTGAGTTTCCCTCTACAAACAGATGCATAAAAGGTGCATGCATATGTTTTTTCTTGATGGAGAATGTGCATAGTAGAAACTGTTGCATACATTTTCCTGTGAGGCACATACCTCTATAAATTTTCACAAGTTTTGGTGCTTCAACATACTAATCTGGAGATACCAATGGCTCATGTTAATCAAAATTTCAGCAGTGTTACATGGACATGGATATGGGAGTCAGAATCTGATACGTGCCCAATAGTCTGAATCTGCAAGATGAGAAAACATAGACTTGCAGACATGTCTATGTCAAAGTATATACTACTAAACTAATTCATATTTTTGAATTCTAACATTAGATACCTACAAAAAAATGTTGCCTTTGTTACTAAGTGACATTTGATGCAAAAATTGATTCATCTTGTAGATTAACTGTTGCTACTGTTCATTTATGTCAAATAAGCTATGACAAAAAGGAAATGTTTATGCATAAGTGCCCTCAGGAACCTGTAGAGTGTTGGACTTGGACCCAGATGCATGTCCGACACAACATGTCCATTTAGGAGAATCCATGCCACACTGATTTTCAGTGTAAAATTGGCTATTTGAATATTATGGAGGTGGTTTAATTGAAGCTTGAATACATGATGTCCTAAGTGGTTCTCATCATGTACTACACACAGAACAAGGGCATTTTAGTCCCTTAAATTTGGGGGAAGTGAAAACTAATTTATCTATGGAAGCAATACATAGATTTTAGAAAGGTCAGAAAGAAATACATATTTTTAGTTCTGATCATTCATTTATGTGCGGCTGGTAACCTGCAAACCCATCGAACCAAATGCCAATGGCTGTATATCACCCCAGACCGTGTTTGATCCTCCAAAAAGGCATAATGTATAAAATGGTAAGATCATTGTCTAGAGCTTGTAAATGTGAGAAAAACATGAGAAATTACCATTGATCAACTTGTTCTGAAAGCACTTAATTTCTTATTTGGTTGAATGTATGAACCACAAATGTTCATCAAATGTTTAGGCGGATATTTTATTTCTGATTCCTATTTGGTGATGTTTAGTGCAAAAGAGAAGGTTTCCTGCAAAGAATTAAAGATGAAGAAGGAGAAGGATGTAATGTTTATGGATTCTTGGAAGTTAATAAGGTAGCTGGAAATTTTCATTTTGCCCCTGGGAAAAGCTTTCAACAGTCAAATGTTCATATACATGATTTGCTGTCTTTCCAGAAGGATAGTTACAATGTAAGGCAAACACCAACTGCTTAATATTCTTAGACTTGAAAGAGAAGACATATTGGCGTTAAAAGATTTTTATAATAAAATGACCATCTTATTTATATGTTTTTCATGATACAGATTAGTCACAAAATAAATAGATTAGCTTTTGGTGAATACTTCCCAGGTGTTTTAAATCCTCTTGATGGGTAATTTTCTCCTCCCTGTCTCACTTTTTTTTTTGTCAGCCAAAATGCTTGAACCCTCTATTTTTTAATTATTTTTGAGATTAGTCATGTGTCTGTACTCTTTACTGTTAAAACTTACAGGGTGCACTGGACACAAAAAACACCAAGTGGGATGTATCAGTATTTCATTAAGGTTAGTTTTCTTGAGGTCTTCAGGAATGAAAACTTTGATGTTATTTTTGGAACTTAGTATCTAGAAACGTTTTCTTAGTGTAAATGGTGTGGATCACTCTACATACACATAAATACCCAATGTCACAAGGGGCAGCGGCTATCCAGATTATCTATTTGGTTGGACACTCTCTGAATTGGTGAAATCCAGTCTCTTGTCCACATCAATCCTATACCCCTTGATTGATTGGAGCTTTTGTCAAGCAAGTTAAAACTGGTTTAAATTTAAATATTCTTTTACTCAATTAAAGCTTAGAAAAGAGTCACAAGACAAGGGATTTTGGTCTGAAATTTGCTAGATGAATTAGAGTATGGCTAGTGAAAATTGGGCCAACTTTGGGGCCCAACCATGCTATCATATAGTAAGATTCCTGGGTTGTATAGAGCAGGCAGGACAAATACTGAAATAAGGATGATATGGCAACTACAACACTCTAATGGGAATTTGACCAGTGGTCATTCTTGGAGGAGTCAAGTGCTGACACCAACTTTACCAAGAGGAGATAAGTAACCATGTGGAATGTGCAAGAGAGGGTGATAAATTAATAATTGGGAGCTTGCAGTTATAGCCACATTAATATTTGGGGTATTAACTGCTTCAATCATGCCTACAAGTGAAAGTTTTCACTCAAAAGAAGTGATTTTCATTTCCTGCCTTAAAATGTTATGTGCAGCCCATACCCCATAGTTGTCAAGGCGATGCCTAGGTGGCAAGGCACCCTTTGAGGCTCACCTCGCTTAATCGCCAAGCAGTTTTGTACTACGTATTATAAAATACTTTTTAATTCTTTATTTTTTGACATTAAATTATAAAATAGTAAAATATTCATTTTGTGTGTTTGTATACTAATTTCCTTTTATTATTTTCTTATTTGTTAGGGTTTAATCAATATAAACATTGCTAAATGCTGTATTGAACCCCCAAAGACTTTAAAACCTGAACCAATAAGTAAGGAAGAACCTAAAGTTTTGTCTAATCAACACATTTTCTACTACTACTTTTTCTTTTCTTCTTTTCCTATAACAAAAATAAGGGTTCAGCCCCTATATTTTTTTGAGTTTTCTTTTCCGTCTTTTTCTTCTCATGAACATGTAACATTTACTCTATACTTTTCTTATGAAAAGTATGAATAATTATTTAGGAAATATGGTTATGGTACCTAGGGAACTACCCTAGGATCTATGTTTTCTACATTAAAAAATCCATCGCCTAGGTGATGCCTAGGTTAGGCGACTAGGCAACAAGGTGCCCCCCTGTCGCCTAGCCTCGCCTTGGTGCCTTGAAAACTATGGTGCAACCATAGTTAGACTCCTCGAAGCTTTCTAATCTAGACCCACTCAAACTCCTATATCTAGATACATTTCTTAATAGCTTAGGTAAACCACATTCTGAAGTTGGTATTGTTTGACTCCACTTTCAAGGACTAGCTTAACAACTAAGCTTTAACAAATTCTTGAAACCAACATTAATGGAGACACATGCTAATAAAACAGTAGTCGATCAAGACTACAATCAGTCTTGAATCCCAACTGATTTCGGATTGAGAAAAATAGAAGGAAGAGGAAGAAGAAAGGAGAAGAAAGGAG